CGCGGCTGACTCGCAAGGCACCTGCGGAAAGTAGTGTTTATTTAAATTATGAGATTTAATTTTTCAAAAACGAGAAAGAGTTCCTGACCTATGTAAGTTGTGTTTTTGTCTCCAAGCGCAGTATTGTGGGGTTTCTGAGTTTACAGGCCATTAAAGATGACCTTGGTGATGATTCTGGAGCGTTTATCAACACTTTTGACTCCTGTCGCCAGTCTGTTTTTTGTTTTCAGGTTAAAATTATTTTATTGATACTTTATATGTGGAGAATACTTCATGGAAAGTGCTGGCGTACGGTATTTACGCACGAGTTGTTGACGTATCAGAAATCGAACGAGTGAGCGCAGCGAACGAGTAAGATTTCTGATACAAAATCAACGAGTGCGTAAATACCGTACAAAGCACTTTCCATGTGGTATTGTGTTTATTATATACATACTGAGACATTCATCATTTTGGCGGCCTTTTTATTTTAAATCTTTCAAAAATGCTGAAATTTGCCGCTACACACTTACGGCAAAATGACAGCGAAAACGAAGTATCAGCTTTTTAGTGAAAACGTTTGTTAAAAACATAAATGACGGTAAGGATAAGAAGTAATCCAAGAACTATAAGTAATCTTAACTGTTTGTTCTCAATGCACAATTGAAAATGAGTGAATTTAAGTAAAATGGCCGGTTTCAATATAAGCTTAAGCGTAAATGAAAGGCAAAGAAGCTCCGGTAAAAAGCGCAACAAAAGCTTACGTCTCGTTCTGTTTTTCCCTTTCCGCTGTTGTTTCGCCGGGTCTCTACCTTTTTCTTTATCGACAGTGAAACAAACGAAACTATTCCACTCCATTTCCGAAATGTTTTTCACTTTTTTAGCGAGAAAAACTCTTTGAGTAGAACTTTTCTCGTTGAATGTGTGCGAAGCGGCGCTGCAAGCTGCAATAAAAGGCGGGAATTTTGGCGCGAAACTCACCTTTGTGGCTTCTGATTGGACGTATCATTTTTCTCACACGTAAAAAAACATCGTTCGCGATTCTGATTGGACCTATCATTTTTTTCACGTGTGAAAACCATCGTTCGCTCCTCTGATTGACTAGAACTAATTTGCGTACGAAAATTTACGACATAGCTTTTTGGTGAGTATTTCTCAGTATGTATATAATAAGATAACATCTGTAGCTTCGCTTTAGTTGTTGAAATGATTTGCTCTACTGTTACTGAGAAATTGGACCGTGAACTTTTCACGTCAAGCACTTTGGTTACCGTCTTTCAAACCTTCCCGGGCCGGCTTGAACGTGAAGTCACGACGGCCAGAAACATCGGATTTTCATTCGCCAATATCCGCTCTAGTGCCCAGGCCTAAGTTTATGATTCCCTCCTGAACCATAGTATTGGTGTCCACCATCAAGTTAAACACAGATTGTACATGCCTTGCACGCCTTGCGAATAATGCCTGGTCATTACTAGAAAATCTTGCCCTCTTTATAGCAGCCAATCAGAGCGCGGCGTACTATTGTAGCCATATAATAATATTCGTTTATACTCTTTACGCACCTTACTGCACGGAATATCCGTGGTCAAAAGGCACGCGTTTTGACTCTCATTCGCCGAGGGAAAAGTAATACGCCTGCCGACGATCGATTGTGTTAAAAAATGTACATAACTCTGTTCTTGGGGACATTTTCCCTGAAAGCTAAACAGCTGCCTGACTTGACTTAACTTGCTAGTTTCAGGTTGTCCAAAGAAGAAAGAAAGGCTCAACCTCTCGCGGGCTCAGTGTTCACAGTCAGGAATCTTGGCACACACGGCTTCCCATCTGCTGTGTTTGATGGTTAATCACGTGGAGCTCCTTAATTTGACGGAAAAGAGAATACGTATCTAGCTGGATTGTGGAAAACGGTGCTGTGCTGAAGTCATTGACGATTATTATTCTCGTCCAAAGAAGGCATGAAAGTTCCATCGATAAGAGTGGATGTGATCTTAATTGGTTCTGCTGCAATTACGATCTACTACTGTACCGTTCTGGTTTTATTCTACTAAAGTTATAAATACAACAATATCATTGATATTAATAAAAGAAATTAAGACAGTTTCCAGTGTTATTTAGAATATGCACTTTCAGTGCGCACATAAAAGGAATGAAAAGCAGGTTCATTTGTAGTACTTTAAACAGACTAACAAATATAATTATTACTATAAGTAATACTTAACAATTATTCTTTGAGACTGAGGTGAATAGTGGCTGAATGATTTTCCGAGGCGTGAAGCGGTTAGGTAAATATTCCTAAAGCCACTATTCACCGAGATTGAAAAGAATAATTGTTTTTAATTAGTATATACACACGAAGTGATCTCAACAAAATCAGAGAGGAAACCATTGAAAAGTACGATTTGATCCGTTAATCAAATCGTACTCAAATCGTAATCGAAAGTTTAAAAAATAGATCTTTGCAGAATTTTCAAACATGGCAATTCATGCACACAAGTAGGGCAAGAAAAGTAGAGCTTTGTTGTTTTCTGTTGACGTGCAAAGTTTATAGCCAAAAGGTTTGTTGTGTCGTTCTTCGCATGAAGTGCTGACAAAAATGGCGGCTCGGTCGCTCTAGGTTAGACGTCGTCTTCCTGTATCATTCTTTTTCCTATGTACTTGAAAAGTAGAATTTTTGCAAACATTTGCTTTCAAATTTGTTTGTCATAAATAAACTTCGATGTTTGGGCCAAATTTTCTTGTTAGGAAACGCTGAGTTCACGAAACGGCTTCTTTTACGCGAATAAACGGGGGTTGTAAACAATCCATCGAGCACAAAACTCAGCCACAGTAAATGGAAAAACGCCGGTTTGATTCCTTCCAAGTCTTTTCTTGCCTTAAAAAAGTGAACCCTAGGATTTTGTCGACTTTTAAAAGATCGTTCTCTAAAAAATGGGAAAAACACCGAGCTCACACATTATTCACTCGCTCGGAGGTCAATATTGTTGAATTATCCGAGACAGAGAACCAATCAGATTGCTTAAATCACCAAGATCAGAGTGTGTATATACTAATTGTAGATATGCTCATGACCTTGAACAAGTATCAAAGAGAATTAATATAATCAACTTAAATTGAGCTATTAACACAAAAGTACTAGGGCTCTAAATTTAGCTGAAAGTCATAATGAACTATACCAACTCGCCATTTTTTTTACTTTTTCAATTTATTGAAAGTAAATTTCGAATACGTTTGTGTTATAATGCCGCATTCCTTAGCTGAAGTAAGTTAAAAAGGAAACAAAACTGTGGAAATAAGCCAATACGAGCCAAAACGATGTAGTAAACCTATCATACTCTCTGTAATCTAACACAAGCCGGGTGAATTCTTTTGGAGTAAAGCAACAAAATCTCTGGTCACCGGAAGAGGGACATTTGGATCAATATAAATTTTGAGAAACATCTTGCGATCCCATGGTGGCATCAAAAGTCCAACAGTGACGAACATCTCTTGCACTTGACTGCGATTCATTGGCTGTGGCCTCCATTGCTTTAAAGCACCAGAGTCTGCACAGCATCCCCACAACTACAAAACAGTGTATTTTGAGTTACAATTTTATGGTTTCGCCTTAACAACGAATCTTTTCGCGAAAACCACACTTGACTGAAATGAAACACTCACCGCCATTTTCGCCAAATTTCATCTCTTTTTAGCATAACAGACCAAATTTTTTAAATTGCACCTTTATTGCCCTGTCCTTGCAAAACAAGTGAGTGCAAATGAAAACTGTGCTCCTTAAGGGTTCTTGCTTAATATTTAATATTTAGGAATAGAGTGATCTGACTGGGCAGTTTTTTTTTGTTACAAATTAATAACCAGGTCTGGCAGTTACAGTGGCGGATCCCCCACCCCACCCCCCACACACACTTATTTGTAGACCAAACTGAGGCTCGAAGGGCCGCAAAAAAGTTTTTTGGTGACCACCCCCCACTTATCTCAGGGTCTGGATGACCGCCGCCCCCCTCCTTTATCTGAAGCTCTAGATCCGCCACTGAGCCTGCTCTGTCGAATAATAAACCACCTTAGTGTAAGTTAGTAAGTAAGCCTTATCGCCTTATGGATTATCGTTTGTAATAACTCGACGATTGCGGCCGCTAATTGAAAAAAAGAATACTTCCCCCAAAAAGAAATAGATCGCGAAGATGGTAGTATTTCAACGTAACGTGAGGTAAAGTAACGTAACGTAATTAATATAAAGAACCACTTTTTCCTGATGAAAATAATAGTCTTTCCTCTTTTGTTGGAAGCAAAACTAAAGTAACCTTTCACTTCACCAATCCCATCTAACTGAATCCAGAATTTTTTTGGTAAAATAAGGTAAATTTAAGTACCAATAAACTGGTGTAGTTCAAATAAATTCCCACAAAAATTAACGAACCTGACAGGAATGCAAACGATTTTAACTTCGGGTATATTTCATTCAGCGTTAATTCCTTATACTAAGGTATTTTTAACTGTAGATAAGATATTTAAAGCAAATTTAATTGCATACCCCGCACAAGCCACACCATCCACAGCAACAAGGTGCAACGCCATGAATTGATAAATCTGCCCGGACTCCGGTCTCCCCAGACATCTCCACACTGCGTAAACAGCGCAGGGGTATTGGTAGGTAGTAGGTGGTGTCATTACATGATGACGTAAGAGAGTACCCTCCTGGCAGTTTCTTTGGATTGCCCCATTGAGCCAAGGACGTACCTGACAGGTATCAACAGAGAGTTAGAGTCAACTGACAATAAAAATTGGTATTTACTATTCGCTTCCTTAATCTGTCTTGAACGGCTTTGATCAATATCCTCCTCAGCTTGTATGTTTTGTTGTCCGACCAGTGCAGGTCATACTATGTGATATTCTTCATGAAAGATTTTTCTTCTTTTCTCTTTTCGGAACTTATGCGGATATCTGCAATTTTTCCAGAGTAACGTGACCCACCCTTGAACAAAAACATACAAGCCAAGGATGTCCTTTGGGATATTAAATAGTATTTTATCCAAACGCGAAAGTAAATAAATTGAAAAAGTACCGCACTGACAAAAGCACTGGTATTTACATCTTAGCTAGGCCCTAGCGTAGTTCTTCTTAAATACTGACGTTATTATTTAAATCCGGCAGCAATCAAGGTCAGAATTTTTTTTCCAATCAAAGACTCTAGCGGCGACATCAAAGATGCACCATCAAAATGTTGACCATTGTTAGATGTTAATGGCCGTGTCTGAGATTTCCGCATTGTTATCAAAGAACCTTACCAAAAAGCATTTGTGCATTTGAATCATTCTGTACATTTCTAGCATCATACAAGAGAAAGGACAATTGATTAACATGACGGCGATTCTTGGCCAAATGTAAATGGCCCAAAACTAAAGATAAAACCCAAACGTCTGATCAGAATTAAAGGGAGTTGTACTCACCAACTGTAAGCTGTGAGGATAAGAAAAGAATCCTTTTGTTTGTCAAAAGACAAATCCCTCCGCTACGCTGGGTCAATGGGCTACCAGCGTCATCGCAGAATTGTACATTGGTGTAGTTCATAAATGTGAAGTTATTCAAGGCTTGAAAACTTTCACCTTCATAGATGAGCCCTGCCAAGAGATCTCTGTAACTCATATTACCCTGTGAGAGAAAGCGAGAGCAACCTTCCAAACTTGGATTGTAAAATAACCGAGATACCTACAATACTGGACAAAAGTCCTTAGAACAGTACTGCAATATTCATATTTTTCTATCATTTCTCGGTTCCCTCTTAAAACAGTACATCCCAAATTTTCTTGCAGTTCTCCCTCCCCCCACCTTATACAAAGTTGAAACTCGGAAAAAAATTCTCGATACACGCGTCCAACATTGTTTGTGGGGTGAGGGGAGGGGTTGGACCTGTGTGAAACGCCCCATAAACGCGAAAGTGTCCCAAGACTTTTGTCTATGATTGTACTAGTAGACAGGGTAGCCTGCGGGGAGCAGACGCATTTTTCGGTTCTTGTTTGGAAGGGAGAGAAGCGACAAGGCTGAAATACGTCTGCTGTTAGGAGGCAATAGGCATGGTGACCACTGAGATTAGCAAGAAATAAAAGAAATAAGAAAGGGTAGAAAAAAGATAACATAAAATAAGAAAACAATTAGAAACTGACAGACATGTGACCATCTATAACTTACAGATGTCCTGAATTTCAAAATACAACAATAATTAAAATTTACTAATTAATAAATAATTAGCAATTATTTAATAATTAAACCACAAAATTGAACTAAATATCAGTATGGCAGTAAAGAACTGATCACCTTTTTTCACCTATGCAAGAATTTAAACATTTGTGGAAAAGATAGTACAATAAATAATGGAAAATATGCTACTTCCAAAATCGCATTTTCTCTTTACTAAAACTACCGAAATTTAGTAATTCTAGCTACTTTGGTTTAAACAACACCAATGTGCATTCTTATAGCTGCATTACTATGCGAGATGACAAATATGCGTGAATGGCCCATTGTAAACACTACTTATGAAACACTACTAAGGCAGTTGTCAAAGTATTCCTGACCTTCAGAGAAACAAACTGGCCCTGTACTGTACGTTGTAGCTGATCAGCGCTTTGTCTAACAACACTTTGCAGAGTTGCACCACTCATGTGCGCAGTGGTTAGTCCAGTCATTATGCCTCTTGAGGCAGGGTCCAACATGGTATCAGAAAAGGCCTGGGGTTGACTCACTACAGGTGGAGCAATTGAGGCTAGAAAGTCCATATCAACTGGAAATTGAATAAAACATATTTGACTTATGCCTGCTAACAACTGTTAATATAGTGTAAATAGTGTGAATATTATGGCAGTTATATACCCCCAAATGATATTGTGCGAAATTTTAAAATTTTAAGAAACTTGATTGCCTTATTTTTGAAATGCTTTTCATCAAACTGGGAACTGAAAACCAGAATTAAACAAACAGTGCGATTCCATCCGCGCAAAATTATTTGTTTAGATCGGTTTTAGTTAGCGTTATTAGTACAGTAGAACCTTAGTAACTCGAACTCTGAAGGGAAACGAAAAAAAGTGTATTTCTTTTCAATTTTAAAACATTGTATCACTTACCGTTTACATATTTTATCGCATTTATTTCCCATCGTATTCTCACCTTTAAACTATTTTCAAACCGTTTGTAATATCTTTTTGCTAATTTTTATTTTTCACTCCGCCTACTTGAAAATGACCTCGTAGACGTCGAAAAGTGTCGCTGATTTTTATTACAAAATGTATATCCAAGGAACTTTTCATCGACAGTTATACAGTTATTAAAATTAGAATTTAAACAGTTGAACTTCTAAGGCAACGGCAGTGTCTTCTTCGGCAAAGTCTTCTGGACTTGAACTCTTAAAAAAACCTTNAACATGGTATCAGAAAAGGCCTGGGGTTGACTCACTACAGGTGGAGCAATTGAGGCTAGAAAGTCCATATCAACTGGAAATTGAATAAAACATATTTGACTTATGCCTGCTAACAACTGTTAATATAGTGTTAATAGTGTGAATATCATGACAGTTATATACTCCCAAATGATATTGTGCGAAATTTTAAAATTTTAAGAAACTTGATTGCCTTATTTTTGAAATGCTTTTCATCAAACTGAAAACCAGTATTAAACAAACAGTGCGATTCCATCCGCGCAAAATTATTTCTTTAGATCGGTTTTAGTTAGCGTTATTAGTAAAGTAGAACCTTGGTAACTCGAACTCTGAAGGGAAACTAAAAAAATGTATTTCTTTTCAATTTTATAACATTGTATCACTTATTGTTTACATATTTTATCGCATTTTATTGCTCATCGTATTCTCACCTTTAAACTATTTTCAAACCGTTTGTAATATATTTTTGCTAATGTTTATTTTTTACTCCGCGCATTTGAAAATGACCTGGTAGACGTCGAAAAGTCGTGACTTCAGTGTCGCTGATTTTTATTACAAAATGTATATCGAAGGAACTTTTCATCGAGAGTTATACAGTTCTTAAAATTAGAATTTAAACAATTGAACTTCTAAGGCAATGGCAGTGTCTTCTTCGGCAAAGTCTTCTGGAATTGAACTCTTAAAAAAACCTTAGCCACGTTCAAAGAAGGGAAATACTGAACAATCCATCGTCTATTTTAGGACGAGCCAAAACTCGTCCTTGAAACTTGAAAATAGGCAGTTTTACGTCGAGGGTGTGGAGTTACGGCAAAGAAATGTACTAAAAAATGGGCTGGAAGTGCAGATGCAGAATTGTAGTTTTGTTTGTTAAACCTAATACTTTTTTTTTCCTTTCAAACGTCACCGCCGTGTTTGTCTGACCTCCCTATTTGAATACTGAATGTCAAGATTGATGCGAGTTTCTTGCTCATATTACCGGAAAGGTTGCAAATCGAATTTCACATCACTATGGGCTTCATGAAGTATGAGAAAAAAACGCAGTGCATTGTAGACACAATGTTTAGCCCTCTCTAGCGTGCAAAGAAAGTTGTTTCCGATAGCCCGGGGCTAGTGAAGTTTGCAATCGGGCTAGTGAATTCTATTCTTAACTTGCCCGAAGGGCAAGTGAAGTTTTTTGGGAAATTCAAATCACAGAAGAACTGCAATCAATGCTGTTTATGAAAAACAATTTTGGGCTAGTAAAAAAGACCCTTGGGCTAGTAGATACTAGCAGCAACGTGCCCGAAAGGCAAGCCGTAAAACTTACTTTCTTTGCACCCTGCCTCTCGTTGTATTAAATTGCAAATGTTAGGCCCGGTTCAGACGCCGAACTTTTCATGAGCCGAACCTAGTACATTGAATTAAATACATGAAAAGTTCGGCGTCTGAATCAAGTAGGAACGCTTATTTCAATTCGGAACGGCTAGACCGCAAGCAGTTTGACCGAAATGAGCATTTTTCTCCT